GCTGTGTGCCCCCGTCACGGTGGTCTAGTGGCTAAGGTACTCAGCTGCTGACCCGCAGGTCGCGGGATCGAATCCCGCCTGCGGCGCCTGCAGTTCCGATGGAGGCGGCAGTGTTGTAGACTCGTGTGCTCAGATTTGGGTGCACGTTAAAGAACCTTAGGCGGTCGGAATTTCCGGAGCCTTCCACTACGGCGCCTCTCATAATCATATGGTGGTTTTGGGACGTTAAACCCCACATATCAATAAATCTGCTGCTGTGTAATCTTGCAGGCTTCCCCTTTTGCAATTTTGCCCCCTCTTGCTTTCCCTCTTGCAAACTTGCAATTTTTTGTTCCTATGCACCCTGTATTGCAAAGCACATGTTTCATGGCTTGCCTGCTGCTTTAGGCACCCTGCTAACTGCCCTGAAAAATAAGTTGCAAGGCTAGGCCCAAGTTTCCCGTAACCCTCAGCCGGCACTTTCACCACACATCGTCACGTGTGTGTTGATTACAAAACATACACGTTGTGGTAGCACATCTCTTGTCAACACAGATATGTCGTGAGCAAAAAATGAACCGTAAGTGCATCCATGTACTCATCTTCACTTTCCGAAAACAGGTGTACTTGACCAGGCAGCTGCTCTTGTCTTGCAGAATTTATTACTAGAGGTGTGCAAATATTTCAAAAAATTTTAATGGTGCTTGCTGTTTAATTCAATTCACATAGAATTTGACTATTCGAATAATTCTAACTTCCTGAAGACAAGTACAGTCAACGCCCAATCGACAATGACCCCATCAAATTTTTGATATGCTTCACCCCATCACAATATTGCATTGTGGCAAAGCTGCCTTTCAGACTTTGTTATGGTAGCAAATGCACTGACTGTAGAATATGCCGATTCCTACATGCGCTGTGCAGTTAGTGCCCCCTTCGTATTTTTAATATCTACTGCATCACACTTTGGTATTGCGGCAAAGCTATCTTTAGGGCTCTGCTACAGCCGCAAATGAATTGACTCTCGAAAGCACTGGTTCAAACCTACCGGCATAGGTGGGGGCTTTAATTAATGCCATTTCAGACCAAAAAGTTCAATTAAATCAGAGAAAAATTTTCAGCATCCAAAATTTCAGATATTTTCAAATATTGATGACTACAGGGCCAATTAGCAACTCCGAATTGAAAGGGGGTACACCCTTGACAGCTCAATCGATTGATCTCCACATAAGCTAAAAAGAGGTGAAGGAAACAATCTTTTCCTTTCCATGTTGTTAACACCACATAAATTATGCCAAATCACGTAAATGAATGCAATTCGGTCTCTGCATAGCTCCACCTTTGATAAAACAACTAAGGAACACTATCCCTATACCTAGACAAAAGAAACACTTTTATGTTCTTGTGTCATAAGAATGTACTTAGGGATCCTCTGCAACTTTTTTTCTTGTAATTGCACTTCACAAAGTATCCGAAAAATAGCATGCATATATTCAATAACTATTAAAAAAATACTCGAATTAGCTTCATATAAAAAATATTGCTATTTGCAGAGCTCCATTTTTTTACACATCATTTAATTACACATGATGCCCCCAAGCACAACAGGAAACGATTCGACATACACCACATCGTAGGTCCCCAAATCGCCGATATTTGAAGCCTTGCTCAAATGGCTAACCATGAAAGCCCAACTCCAGCGATGTTTCTAGGACAATAGATAGTAATAAAATTTGCTCCTTAGCATTTTTCCATAAGTTATGACAAATTACAGGCTTAAGAGGTGTGCAGATTATTTGCAAATAAACTTGATGAATTGCCCACCTGCCTGCCCGAAATCATTGGCCACTCTGTGCGTGTGAGGTTGTTCATGACGAAGCAACATAACTGAGGTCCAAACGATTGTCTGTTCTCATCCAGGTGTCCACTGGTTTGGCGTGTTAATTTCAGCTCCCTGTGGACAGCAAGTGATGTGGTGCTGCATTGTGTGCTGACTGTAAACATCTGCAGCTAATGCTTGCCACTCAACTTGATATTAGAGTGTGTTTTAGTGAGCAGTGCTGCTTTACCATGGAAAGTACGGGAGTAGTATTGTATCGACTGTAGATTGTGTATATGAGGACTTCAGCATTCAAACGCTGTTTGTAATGCATGCCAAGTCTACCAGTAAGCTGTGCATTGAGCAAAAGGTGGCTCGCACTTAGCCTGATTTCACTGACCCTATCCGTAAACTTACTCTTCCCATAATAATACCGAGTTTTACTTCGTCAGCAATGTTCTCAACAATGGCAATTTTTTAAGCGATGGACACAAAGAATAAATACCAGAATTCCAGCAGGAATTGAACCCAAGCACTCTGTGTGGCTGTTAAATATTCTATCATTGAGCAAAGCCAAGTCTTGAAACTGCTTTTAAGAAAGAGGCTTTACAGACGTAATATCCGTGCAAAATCAATTGTTTGTGTAGTGCTGGTACCTAAGTTTCTAACAAGACAAAAAACATTACATATGTACATCTGTGATACAGACGTTGCTTTGGATTAGTGCCAATCGTCGTACCAGTGTTGGCTAGTCAAATAAACATTACATTTGTATTCCTTGATTCAGCAAGCTATATTTATATGCTGCTCGACCTCAGAGGAATACATTAATGAAAGCTACACATGATATTCACATCATCACACAATAATGTCCACTTAGCTTCGATAATACACTCAAACTTCGATGTAATGAAACCTGATATAACAAGATATCGGTTATAACAACATAAATGAAAAGTAGTCCTGCAATAAATATATTATAGTGTTAGAAATAAACCTTAATAATAAATTTTCAGTAATAGCAAACTTATTTTCGTGTAAGATACAACTTGTTTATAATGAGGTGCGAGTGTACTGAGGTTTTCGATCTGATGTGAGTGATGACGTCAGGTCAGAGGATAAGTTACCATTTAAACGCAGTGTTCGGCATTCCTGGTAAGCCAACAATGTGCTCACAACTACTGCAATAATGAAAACAAGGAAACCTCCCTGACAAAGCTCGGCTCAAAGCCAGAAAAAAAAAAAATACAACATAGACAATTACTCGCTGCCGACTGTCTTGTATGAAACTAATTACCACAATGCAAGGGATGTTAAACTTCTTTTTTTTCCTTCTTCAGAATGCTTTCTCTTGGCTGCATAGCTAAAGACATTTTTTCCTGAAGGTGTAATTTGTGCAAGATAGCATCAATGTAAAATAGCGGATAATGAGGACAAGCAAGGTATGGGGTGGCAATATTTGTACTGTTTTAACTGTGCAGTAATAGTAGTAGTAGTAGTAGTAGTAGTAGTAGTTTTAACGGTGCAATTATGACACAGACGTGCAAATGATAAAGCGCAAGAAAAGACAACTATCTGCCAGCAGAAGTGAACCTGCAATCGTCAGATAATGGGCCCAATGCTCTGCCGATTGAGCTATGTTGACGATCATCCTCTTGCCCACGTTATTGGATATTTATGTCCATGTGATTTCTGCACGTACTTGCTATGTTTGCTTTGACGTAATTGTTCAAGCAAAACTTCAGTGCTAAGTCGCCACCCTACAATCGATGCCTTCGGTCCATGGCTAGAAAAAAGTGTGCTCCACACTCATGGTCTGCAAGAAGCACTGGCCGACATTCCCAGCATTCCACAAAACACAGCAGATAGCCAGTAGTTTAAATGGCGGTGCATTGGACACGTCATTCGAAGGTTGAAGGCTTGGTTTCTACTAGTGGCAAGCTAATTTTGCATCCACTTTATCTGCTTTTCAGTCATGTCGTAATGCCACTAGCTACAAATAATGTCCTTTGTAGATTACTTTACGGATGTGTTTGAGTGCCACCATATTGGCCTGTTAACCTTTGTGTCTTGTATTTTGAAGGAACACTAAAGGCAACTATTAAATCAACATTTATTATTAAAACAGTGATCCAGAAACCTCTCAGTGTTACTTTTGTGCCAAGGAAGTGCTTATTTTGAAATAAAATCACGTTTTTGTGGTCCACATCGGATTAGTGCACTTCAAATTACCTACCACAAGCGGAACGTCTCACGTCACTGTTGCCGTGCACAGCGTTGGCCAGCTTTACTAAGCGGCCGCCGAAACTAGTAGCAGCAGAGCGAAAGTGGTGGAAACCACAGCAGCAACAACGACCACTGAATAATTCCTGCCATGACTTTCGGAATGGCAGACATGCTTAGTTCAACTGGGCCCCACTAGATGGCACGACCTGTAAAGTTTAACCAGGCGAAAATTGAACTTTTGAACCACTCGTGTTATTTTCCACAGTAACGTCTGGCAGTTCTTCTTTTCACGAATCAAACGGAAACGAACAAGCAACATTTTAATACGTCACAAGATGCATGAAAGGTTCTTTATTTATTGTAGCTAGTTCGATTACTAATGATTAATTGTAGGCGGTACTTCTCATACCATGGGAATCATTTTGCGAATGTCCTACGCGTAGCGCATGTGTTCTCGTGCATTTACATTAATTTCCCGGTAAGTACGGCCCTGCTGTTGATATTACTATTGTCGTTTGAGATGTCATCTTACATTGAGCTTTCACTCTGATGTAAATTAGTATTTAACAAATGAACGAACAGCATTAGGGTAGACACCTGCGCATAGAAGCAGTTCGGTTGGTGCCCAAGATGGCGGCACCCACATGTCTTTGTTGTCTGCTCGTTACACCAGGTTGTGTCTAACAAAGAAGTGAGTGCTCGATCAATATCAGCTCCTATTTCGTTGACTTCACTAATAACAATGCCCTTTCGTGCACTGATTAAATGAACTTTGTTTGCTTGGTGTGCTATGCCAAGTCAACAGAGCAGCAATTAGCGCGACCCGCAGTATCATGTGACCAAGCGTCATGCAACACACGTGCAAAAAAACAAGCAATCTAAAACATCGGGGCAGCTATCACACAAGCAATGACAATCAGTGCATTTGGTGAGAGATTTTACTGTTGTGCGCCAAGGTGGTTAGTAAATGGCTTACGGTTTTCGAGCTTAGAAAGGAAACTTCCGCCACTTCCAGAGCCTGTGCGCAATGCGAGTAAATGGGAGAACAAGAAAGGAAGAGAAGGAAAAGACTGTGTTAGTATGCAGCAGGAGGAGCAGCAACAACACACACCGCGAGGCGCACAAATCAACAATAAAAAACAACCACATGATTTTCTTTAGATTAAAGCACAAAGAAAATGGGCATAAGAACATGGAAACACAACACAGCGCTGGCTTCCAGCTGAAGTTTCACAACAGTCAGACGAGCCATTTTTACATAAGGCACAGAAGAAAACACTCAACAATGAAAGCGTGGGCATTTAATTGAAATATCTCTATGAAGTATGACAGTAGATGAATAAGGACTATCTGCTTAGATCAGATTTGTGCCAATGCAATACAATTTGACAAGTGTTGGAGAAGCATCTGTTGAGCCGATGCTGCTCTATCTCAATGAGACGTGGGCTCCTGTGGCATTCCTCACAGAGCAACTTTGCACCACTCCACAACCACCAAGACACAAGTGAATACAGCAAGACGCGCAATGCTATGCTGTATCCCGCCTTTTACAAGCAAGAGTGCCATCTTATATATTTATTTCTAAAATAATTCAGGCCCATTCAGGCCCCAAGCAGGAGTGGATACAAACATTAGTAATAATATTAAATGTCATGCAAAGATACTGACTGCTCAATGTTCGTACCACATTTAAGGTTTCTGTTCATACCCAAGACACCGAATTCCACTCCAACTTTTCACCCGAATAGAAAGATCTACCGAGTGACACACCCTTGGACACGTTCCATGATGAATTTTTGAAAGCCAACTCTGGCGATTTTTTGAGGTCAATGGATTGCAACGAAATACATTACTTTGCACTCCCCCGTCATTTACGCGCAACATATTCGCAAAGCACAAAATTACAAGTAGTTACGCCGTAACTACTCGTAGTCTTGCGCTGTGCAAATATGTTGATTCCCAATCACCAACTAGCCCAAGCATCTGTGTTATTAAGTTACATTTATGCCCAATGACAAACTAGAGCAGATTCATTACAAATTAATTTTATTGAATGCCCACACACCTTACCTCATAGAATTATGGCCAACACCGTGTGTGTGACGCCATTTTGGGCAAAGCGGAAGTTACAAAACCGTAATGCCGCCACAGCCTCTGCTACATATGTACGCGGCAACATTCTTGTGCGTGTGGCTTGCACCTCGTTGGCCAAGTGGTGTTGTCTTGTGGGCTGCACAAGATTCTCAATGTAATTACCTTGACAGTCACGGAACACATGCACCTAAATATTACCCTACGTCTTCATATTAGAGTGTTTTATCTACCAGTGCCAGTTTACTACATGGAAAGTATGGTAGTAGCGAACTGGCTGAAGAGTTTACATGTGTGAACATTACCGCACATAGACGTGACCAGGCCTATTGGTGAGCTGCACCCCTTGCAAAATGTGGCTTCTACTTGGCTTATCTTAAATTCTTCTAGCTCTACAAATGCAATATTGAGCATTCTCATTGCCAAACTTATTCACTCTTCCCATTCAAATATTAAGAAGCAATGGTATTTTACCCGATCGCAACCCCACAACAGTGAGTAGCCTGGACAGGTGGCAACATCTGGTGGTAGAATGTGCAACCAGGCAAGCAAATAACTATCATATTTACATGCATAATCTGTGCCCTCGCATTATTTAAGCACCCTAATATTTTGCCAGCTTTAAAAAAAAAATATTCACTCGCATATTTTGAACACCCCGACCAGCTCACAGGTGCGCGCACCTTTGGACATTTCGAGCAGATGAACGCAGTCAAACAGGCTGCCAGTGCGAAGTCCCTGCTTCCAAGGACTTCCCCCAAACTAGGGTCCCTGGAATACCGCAGACGAACACAAACCTGCTGACGCGATGACGGAACAGTTCAAGCGTTTGCCCCTCCTCCTATATCCCAATATACCACCGCGATAATGGCGAGAACGAATGCTCACATCACATCTCAGCGCGGACGGCTTTCTGCATTGGAGGCGTGCGAGGGTGTATGGCTCCAAATGTTCTCCTCGTTCTCTGCGTCTGCGCTTCAACGCACGCTTGGTCGATTTCAGAAGTTTAGGTTTCACCATTTGGCCGGCGCGTTTTGACGGTTCCCTGCAGATGTGCTACAGTAATTATATATACTACGAAATTGAGGCTCGTTATTGTAAATTTCGCCGAAGAAAACTGGAAGCATGCCGCTGCAAAGCACTTCAAAAAGACGTTCTTCAACGTGACGGGCAGCGCGATCGGTACGCGATAAAGCAGACGAGTGCGCGCTTGCTAATGCAAGTTTCTTGCCTTTGAACGAGGCCTTTTCAGTTATGTGCGGATGCTTAGTTCTCCCGGTATCGCCATGTTGTGGTACCTAGTTTCTCGCAGCATTGTCGAAAGAGCATCATGAAAACGGGGCATACGATCTCGCTCGACAAAAATGAAGACGATGTGCTTTGGAAAGGAGGTGGCAGAGGCTGCAACGATGATTCCTAATCGGACTTTGAGATCAGTGATTTCTGCTAAACTGCGCGTGACCGGGTCTGACTGATTCTTTCATAATTAACAAGTACACTTTGTTTGCGCACGAATTTACGTTTTCCTTTTTTTTAATGTATATACTGCACTTGTTAAGACTGTGACACAATATTTTATATGCACTTGCGAAATCCCCACGTAATAGACCTCTGCTGGAGTGCGTCACAGCGCGACGTCACCGGTGCACGTGCAAGGTGGTGGTTGGCAAAATACTCCCGCTGGTGGCTGAGTGGGGTGCAGTCGCTCGATGCTTGGGGCAAGCTTTTTTTTTTTTTTTTGAAAGCTTAATCTTTATTTCACAGTGGCAACATTAGCTGTGGTATCTGTCAGAGAACATCTAGGTGTGTGGTAAAGTGGATAATCAAATATTTGTCGCGCTGGCTGGCTGTTTATCTTGGAGAAGGGAACACACGTGGCGGCCTATACGAGGAACAGGGGCATCATCTTCAAAAATGTACAGTGTGGATTGTGGAGTGTAGTGTGTGTTGACAGGCATCGACAACATTGGTTCACCTTTACGGACGGTAAAACAGGGAATGTTGTGCGTGGTGTGTGCAGTGTCAATAGCGTGACGCATCTTGTTTGCGAAAACACTTGTATTCGTTGTGGTCCGTTTGCAGTAACCGCTTGTCGATGGAACTTCACGAACTGACATTTTAGTCAAGGTAGGTATGCATTTGACGCGATCATTTGCGAGTGGGAACATCTCAACGTATGCGCGGCGTACAGAAAAATAAAAGTGCATGACCTCCGGGTGATATATACGACTACGCATAAGCTATAAGTATATTGTAGCGTTGCAGAATCTGTACATAGGCTTCACCACAGCTATAACGCGTACGTGTTAATATACCTGGTATACCTGATACCTGATACGTGTTAATGAAAACAGCGGAGATTTTTGTTTCTTATCTACTTTGTACTTTTACGACTCGATCCTTATGAAGTGACAATGTGCATTAGAAGTTTGTGTATCAAGCCTAAAGGAGCAATATAGGTACGAAAACACGTTATAGGTATCAAATACGGCAAGGTAACTGAGCTAGATAATAATTAAGTGGTCGGGTTTTACATCACATGAATTCTCGCTGTGTTATTGAGAAACGCAGTGACTGAGTTTTACTATAACTTTCCCGAGTATATGTTAACCTCAGCCTAACACATGGCAAGAAGTCCTTCTTCTTTTTTCATTCATCTTCGATCAGACTTTTGCGCAATGAGTGAGAATATCATCCATGACGTCGCGCACAGCAGCTTAAAACCATGCTGCCGCTAATGCTGTTCCTCATTTAAAACTGCATTGCACATGCCACGTTGAAAATTGAATAAGTTTACATCCATGCCATGCAAATATTTCTCAAAGTGTCAGTCACAGTATACATTCAAAATGTTCGCTTTCGAGAAAGATCAGATTTTTTCATGGTTGCCATCTACGTAGGTGAAGCCCAGTGCGTTCTAGTCGCGTCTCTCAGTACTCTAAATAAAGTTTCTCTATCCATCCATATACGATGAGCGAATTTCCACACTATGAGCAGTGACCTTTCCGCGAACCTCTTCTTTCAAAAGCTCTAACTTAAGAGCAAAGCAATGTAGAAATCTCTGTCGAAGGAATGCAGACACGCAGCTGACTATGCAGAAAGATGCCGCCGGCGGAACTTTCTTGCCAACCAGCACTTGCTGCGAGAGAGGGTATGGTGGGCGGGGTGCCCGCACTGACGTCACACTGTTTACAAATAAGGAGAGGTCTATTTGTGCACCCCCTTCTTGTGGACCTAATATTGAGAAAAAAAGTGCGCAAATATGCGAGTAAATAGAGTGAGCAGGAGTGTTCCACTTCATCGAAGAAAGATGGAGATTTTAGTTGGCCTCTATGTATAGCCGAACCGTGGCTGTTATTTTCCGACAGCTCTGTGCAAACAGCACTATCCGTCACAGACACGATACGGCTGTTGTGACGGGGCCACCTTTTCCTAAGCGTGTGCTCTTCGGCCCTCTCACAGCTTGCCTTGTTGGCTTCTGTGGCACGACTTCCGGTTTTCGCGATTAATACATCACACGAAGATGGTACTGTTCAGTTGGGTTTTGATGTCGTGCTTTCTAGCTCACTTGAAATTATTGTCCAATTGACAAAGTATTTCTGCTATTGGGCACGTGACAGGAGTGTCTCAGGAAGATAAAAGCACCTTACTTTGACACTATCAAAGAATCACCAGAGTTGGCCTTCAACTAAGGAGCAATACTTAAAAATGTCATAACCCACAGAAACAAACTTCTGTATGAAACTTGAACTCTAATGGTTCAGCAAGATGAGTTGCATATACAGTAGAACCCCAACTATACGACTCTCAGGGGACCACGCAAAACCATCATATACTTCGGGCGTGGTATATTCAATTAACAGGTACAGACCGCCTGAATACGCCAACGGCACAGCCTTGTGCATCTGCAAGGAAAGTAGATTAAGT